ATATATATATATATATATATATATATATATATATATATATATATATATATATATATATATATATATATATAACAGTTCTTGTTGATATGAGTTCTTGTTGCAGCAACTTCTGATTCTCATTTTATTTTACCTTTATCTTGTGCAGCAATCTTAAAATTTTTCTTTAACAACTCACCAATTTGGCAGAGATCTCCAATGAATCCCTTTGGACACTTACACCTGTAAGGATCAGAACCAGGTGAATCTTTGAGATAAACGATCGTCTTTCCTCCATTTTTACAATTCTTCATTTTATGGCATGGAACCTGCGAACCGATCAATATGTTAGGACTCAGCTTACTGTAAACTAAAAGAAACTTAGCCTGCATGCAAATATCAGAATAACATCATAAGTTAGCTATCAAGCACACAACACCTCAACACGCCTATACGTCGTCACTCGCACGCTGCAAATTTTGTTATATAACGACGAAAGAAAAAATAACAACATTTATACAACAATAAATTATCGTATTTCATGATCATGACAAAAACTCTATGATATTGCAAACGAGTTTAAACCAAAATTACCTACTTAAACGGTTTCGGCAGCATATCCTGTAGCCTGTACATATTGTGTTTGTTTTAGGCTTCTCTTTTATACATTCTTTATTATTTTTAACATGCACAAACTTGGAAAATAGTAGTTTCTAAACTTGCGAGTTATGCACAAATGTTGTTGATTTATATACAGTCACGTACAGTACCCAGTTCGGGCGGGGAATGGATTTTTCACTTGTTGCCCGGTGGGATATAACATTGCCTTTACGTTTTGTGTTCACACTAGAAGATTGCAAAATTGAAAATTCCCATGCATGCATTCTGTTCACTTGCTTCTTGGGAACAAATAAGTTAATTCCGCTTATATAATAAGCTATTTAAGACTGCGGGTATTGCTAGCTAGGCATTGCTTGCTAGGTACTAATAATCTATTTTAGGCAAAGTTTATTAAGAACATTTTACTGCAATTTCGTACCTTTCTTGGAGCAACGGGATGATAAAATAACCAGCCTTTGTCATCAGCGTTGCAATCATGAAAGTTGTGATTCAGCGTGTGTGTTAACTGGCAGTTTGGAGTCTTCTTCTCGTGCTTTTTCTTAAAATTGAATCCAGCACAGAATGGATCTTCCGAACACTTCATGACACAATGATTCTGGAAATCGTATGTCGCTTCAAACAGAATATCGTTTATTAAAGGGCAAACATCTGGAATGAAAAGAAGATTTATCAGGCAAAGATGACATGGAACCTTAAAAAATCAAGCAAGAATAAGGACTTCTAAAAAATTAAACTTACCTTCATACAGCAAGCGAAAAGGAATCGCCACGTTCGGGTAATCCTCAGGCATGCAGTATAAGTCTTGTTCCAGTGTAACTGCATGTGGCAACAAGATCAGGAACAGAAATCGCACAGACATGAGCGCTGTTCGAAGAAAGCGTTTCATTTTGTTGTTATGGGAGAATACAGACTCGGGTTTAACCAATTTTTTGGTTGTTTTCTGAGCGTCGACAGAACAAAACTGAACTAAGTGGAAAATTTTATGACATTATATATACATGCACCGCGCTGTGGCGCGGTAAGTGCCATGCATTAAATATGTTTGCATTGCAAAACTGACTGTTTATTTGCGTCTTAATTGAATTGTGGCAACGTATTGCATTAATTAAATTGTTTGTCAAAGTTTCACCTGTTCACGAGAGGAAGGATGGTCTTTTGGAACAAATGTTCCGCAAATCTAAAATTTTAAGCACCAATACGGCAGTTTCGTCTGCGGACTGACAGTTTTAGCAAATATGAAATTAAATTTCAAAAACGTGTGCATATATAGTTATAATTCACGCATTATCTATTAGTCGATCGAAACAATTTTGTGTTCTATAATTATACATGCACACTTTTCTCCGAATAACTTAACTACTGATCCTATCGAAGAGAAATCGTTGTATTCAATCCATGCGGTATACTGCTCGAAGATCTTAATTATCAATTTTATTGCTTCCATGACGGGAAAGGGGCTAGGCAAGTATAGTTTTAAAGGAAATTAGGACAAAACGCTAGCATAATTAGACAATGCACTTAGTTAACAAAATGACCAAAGCCACCGACCATTAATCGTTGTGTAGCGGCAATTAACATGCTTAACAGGTCATTATATATATACCTTTGTGTAAAAATATTAGCTGAAGTATTTTTAGAAGACAACAATATAATAATACTATAATATAATATAATTAATTTGCCACTATTTACATGTTACTAACGAATTAAAGACAAAGACAGATTAGACAACTCATGCCGAACAGGGGAAAGGAACAGGACTCTCGTCCCAATTGACACCTAACCACAATAAAGACGTTAAATAAATACAGACTAGCAATACCAGCCTAGACCTAGGCCTTCTATTTTTATTGAAATTTTTTTAATATTCAGCGCTTTTTCACATGAAAAGACTGGGACTAGGTGATTTGGGGGCGGGGCGGAGAAAGGATACAAGCCTGACGCAAGCGAAAAAATAGAAGGCCTAGTGGATTTCCCAACAACAAGGCTAAAACTGCCCTGAAACTGCCCTGGTTGCGAAATGCCCAATTGTTGCGTTCTCAAACAGAATTATTTGCGACTTAACAGCGAATTTAAACCGATACAGGTAAAATAAACTCATTTATAGTATAACTTACTATTTTTATTTGTATACACGTCTAGAAAATCGGGTTTTTTATCATAAAGTTTGAAGCAACACTATTATTATGTTGACAAGGTGAAGCGAAAGCACAAAATAATAATTCTTTTATTCGCAAGACAATCTACTGTTTTGCTTTGAATAACTATATTTGCGAATTGGGAATGAGGAATTTGAAATTATTGTTCAAATATTACGGATATACCATTTGTAAACAATGTACGTTTTTATATACAGTACTGTACGGGCTAATAATATATGTATCCGTTTTATTTAATAAATTATAATTGTATATGTGTTTGTATATTTTACAAACACAAGACTGCTTCTTGCCAAAATTGAGAAAATATATATTAATGTAGTTGTGTATAAGACAAAATTTCATGAAAGATTCTACTTTTGGTATATATTTTGACTCATTTTGTGCTTTCGCTACACCTTGTCAACATATTAAATAATAGTGTTGCTTCGAACTTTGCCAAGTCATGTTAGTCATGGCGACACGATAAATTGTTTTTTTAATTTTTTGTGCAAACCTGCAAAATAGATAAAATTTGAACACTTTTAAATACCGAACTATCAATTCCTAAAATATATAAAGTACGTATATTATTCTGATTTCTATGGGCTTTATATTAATGTAAAATTCAAAACGAAACCTTACGTACGTAAAACGTTTTTAAATGTGAATTTAAATTAACCGCTTTTTACCGATATTTATAAACTTTTCAACTGGCGAGCTTCAACTTATTACTCGCACTTTAAAATGAAATAAATTTAATTCGTACAAGACACTTATGAACACAATTTGCTTTAGTACTTTTTAACATGAACTTCTACAAAAGTTAATTTAAGGTTACAGAACACCTTTGAGTGTTAATTTTGCCTAAAATTTATTTATTGGTTTCCATTAAAGCATTAGACTAGTTCTACTCTCTGACCAAGTTTGAACGAAAAATGTTGAAAACTTGCAGAGTTATTTAATAAAATACATTTCGCTGCAATAAGAAAAACGTTGAAAATGTAATATTCAAATTCAATTTTCTCCCGAAAAAGTTTACGGTAATTACTGATTTTCAAACGAGTTGTGCTTTTGCGGGTTTTGACCAATGTTTCTCAAATTTTCACAGGACATAGCTAAAGACGTCAGTTTCATAATTGTGTTCGGCTTTTTTTTAATTTTGGATATTTTAAAAATAAAGAGCAATTCACTCAAACAATTCAGAAATATATTGCAGTCGTCAAAGAAATCGCCATATCAGCGGAATGACGAAATAAACAAAAATTTCCGAACACAATTTTTTAGAACAACTATTTTGCTGTATAAAAATGATATTTTCATAAATATAACTTAAAAACAGCAGGAGCATAACTCAAAAGCGTAACGGTACCGCGATTTAAGATTTTCCTCAATAATTCTTACATTATTTTATTGTGTGATAATTTCACAACTGTTCCATATTTTGCATGCACCGTAGAACATTTGGTGAAAATTTGATGAAAATCGGTCTGATATTGAGCGCGCAGTAGCGATTTTCCGCAAAACGCCTAAAAAGGTATCCTCTATAACCTTAACCAAGAAACTTTCGCAAACAATGCATAGCAAAGACTTGAACATCAACAAGAACAAAGACTGTATATATTTAATTAGAATATTAATACAGAGTCATACATAAACAATTGAACAAACTTGACCTATAGTTTAAGATTTCTCATATTAAATCAATTCTTATAAATGTTTACGTTTAAAAATTGAAAAAAAAGTTTTACAATTTGTTATGTGAAACGATTTTCCAAGCTTTCTTACATGCATTTTTAATATTTTTTGCCTTCTCCACTCCTGGCAAACAGTCATATTTTGAGATCAGTGAGATGACCACCCACCCAAAACCCAAAACGCACAGTGACCTACGTCTGTGATCATTGATGAACTTTAGACTTGGCTTATAATGCTTTCTTTTCCCCGGGTGAAAATAGCCGGGCGGAATTAGTACCCTCGCCCCGGGCTTACGCCTGGAACAGCGGGAACGGGGCTCCGCGCCGTTGGCTTGTGGATAAAGAAAAGGTAATAACACATTAGTTTTAACAACTTTTAGTATAATTACAAAGGTAATTATTGAAAATTTTCCACGCTGATTGGTTGCCGTTGTGGTGATTATAACGTGATAATTAGCTAATGGATTTTCGAAGCATATTTCATGCCCACCAAATTACTGTCCTCAAATCTGTTCACTATAACGAGAGTTTACCGTACTGATCATGACAAAAATTTTGTCAGTCATTTATAGGGTCCAATATTGTAATATACATGCGATACGCATATTCGAAACGTCGTTTGGATCGCATACTCTAAGGATACTATGTTTTGTGTCACCATTAAATCTCACTTTTTTATCAGGAAATATTTTTTATTACAATTTTACATTTTTTTACAATGTATAAGTGCTATAATGGTGTTTGAATGTTAATATATTTTATTTTCTACATATATAATGCTTCCCTGTGTTATCGAGTATCTGAGTTCCCCCACTATCGACTATTAATTGCAGTTCTACGTTTATATCTTAACTGACTCAATAATCGAAAGCTTTCACGACATGTTTAACTAAAGTTGGGAGAAACGAGGATGAAAGTGAATGAGAGTTGTCGGTCACGTGACCTTGCTTAGTTGCGGATTAATGCTTGCGAACAATATTACGTACGCTCGTCAAACCTTTCTATTTTTAATTTAGAGCTTAATTTAAAAATGTTCTCCCATGAATTCGTGACTGACAACTCTCATCAACTTTCGTTTAACCGCGGTTTAACTATTATATTTGTTGGTCGATTACCGCCTTAATTTAAACCTATAAGACATGACTGTCTTAGGAAAGGATGTCCTTCACATCATATTATTGCGTTTATAGATCTATACATAGATAATTACAAAAGCATTTATGCTCTCATGAGGACCCGCACGATGTGTGAAAAAATTAAGGCAAAATATGTTCGTTCCCATGGCATAATGTGGCAAGGCGTTTGACGGTTGACATGTATAAATTAAATTAACTCACTATAGGACAAGGTGCAAGTATAATTTGATGATCAGTTTTATGAATGGTTTAAATATTAATAAGTTCAGTTTTATATTAGTAAAAGTTAAATAAATCCTATTAGTTGAAGACATCTGTCAACGCCATCATTTGAGATTTATAGGCAAACGCGCGAGAATTTGAATAGTACCGCGAATAACAAGGGGGAATTTCGTTCTCGACCAATCAGCGCTTTTGTTTACATTTTTGCCCTAAGCCAATCAGAATGCGTAAAACGCTTCATCACATGAAATTTGTAAACAAACATATGGGGTTACTTCAGAGCTTTTCTGCAAGCGGTTTTTTGGTTTTTTGCCATGAAATTCATATATGTTGTTCTTAAAAGAATTCTCCTCAACTTCCTCGTGGCGATTTTTGATTAATTGCGTGATTGCGAAGATATGGGTCTTCAAACTTTGCGTTGCGCAGGCTTAAATACCACCCCTCGAATTTGTAGGTTCCGAACGGATTAGCGTTTTTAAAAGCCTTTCAAATCGAGGTTTGAGAGGTTTTATTTTTTAAAAGATACTTTTATCTTCATATTTTCACATTAACTTATTAATATCCTGTGTAACAAGTAAACAGGGCATTTCCGGGCCGGGACAAGTTGACATGTCGATTTCTTGCCAAACAGCGTGGCGATCAATATGGCGAATATCTAAATACAGG